ACAGTCCCTGATATGGAGAACTATAAATAAAAATGTTTACAGTTCTTATCGTTGGTGGTCTTGTTTTCTTCATTTTTCTGTATTATCTAATTTTGCTCTAATAAAAATACATTATATTTTATAAGCTAAACATTTGCTTTTATTTTTAATTGCCAGAGGGCATGGATGCTCTCCAGAGAGAGAGAGGGAGGGAGAGAAAGCAGCAGCACTCCTGAACAGGGTGTTATCGTACATAATCCGCTTTTCCTCCATTGCTCCATCTCCATCAGGATTTTGGGCACATGTATTTTTCAAGCCCCTTGGGACAGGACGTGAACTACAATTGGCTATGTGGGATCTGGTCTCAGTGCACGATACTTAACCACTGTGCTGTGGGCCAGCCCTACACTTTTTTTTTTTTTTAGTTTGCTATAGGACACATCCACTCACCAGAGAGGGACAGAGAGAGAAAGCAAGAAAGAAAGTGAGAAATCAGTCCTCCTCCCACCCCCCAGAAGGATAACCACGTCACAGTTTCTTCTCCATTTTCCTCTTGGGATTTTGGACATGTATACATACGCGCCCGATGTGTTTCAAGTTGCCTGGTTCGGGATTTTAACAGCCACATGGGATCTTGCCACCATAACCACTATACCACCAGCTGCCCCCTAAACATTAATTTTTGAAGAGGTAAAGAAAACCAGCTTAGAGAAACCATAGTGGGGACCAGAAGATGACATTTGTTGCTGGACTCCCACGTAGTCTTCCATGGTTTGAGTCCTGGACCTACTAGCTTAAAACTCACGCCAGGTGCGTGTGTGCGTACACACAGAATCCTGAGAGGAGAATGGAGAAGAGATTGCTGTGTGGCCATCCCCCTGGGGGGTAATTTCTCACTTTCTATCTGTCTGTCTCTATCTCTACGGAAAGCACACATGCCCTATAGCAAAAAAACTGTCAAAAAAAAAAATCCATCATGATTTTATTCCAAAAAAAAAACCAAAACTTTCAGTTGGGGAAAAATGAGATTATATTCAGATCATTGTTTCTGATGGGTCTGGAACTGACCTAAAATTGCTTATAAAATCTGTATCTATGATAGAATGTATCTGTGCATGAGGGAGGGAGAGAGACAAGCACCCCACAGGGTCTGGTCTGTTCCCTTCCTCTAGCATTCTACCCTATAGGATCTGGGCACACACGTGCCCAACCTGTTTCAGGCTGACCGGGCTGAAGATTCGAACTACCGTCACCATGTGGAATCTAGCTTTTCTTGGGTAGCATTTTACCACTGTACCATGAGTCAGCCCAAATTGCAAAATATTTTGTTGATAACTTTTACCCAGAGATCCACTGAAGTCAGAGAGGTCAAGAGAAGTAGAATACCAAGAAAGATACAGTGATCTGTTATTAGGCCATCAGCAATGCCTTCAGTCTATAACACTTGCTAAGGTTCTTGTTGTGCTGCATATTAAGAAAGACGGAGTCAGAAGTAATTGGTGTAAGAACAAGAATGATAATTAGAAAGCAACCAAGCTCACTTTCAGTTTCGCCTTTCTAAGCTGAGAGGTTTCACAGCCTCATGGAAAGGGTCTAAAAGGATCCATGAAGGTACATTCACCTTCTGGAGGACAAAAGGGGGCACCTCTTTAAGATTGAGGCAATAAGTAGTTCAGGAAACTTACAGAAACTATTATGTGATATAGTGATTGTAAAATGCGTAATTCTTTACCATAAATGATTGTAGACTCAGAAAATTTAAAAAAGTCAAGTGAGGGTTAGCTACATGTGGGCTTCCTTGATTTCCTGGGTAACAATTCTCTGCACGTTTAGGAAGTGTTTTTCCAGGGACCACACCCTTCTCTGAATAGTCCTTGGTCAAAAATGAGAGCAATTTTCTGTCTGTCGTTTACTTCACTCTCTAATGGGCAGTGATTTTGAAGTCTTGATAGGTTTTCAGGTAGACTTTCCGATAACTGGTTTTGTACTACTGTTAAATTTGAATACCCCAGAGGGTGATGCAAACTGGTTAGAGTAAATCACCTCTTATTTTCATCGATGGTAGTATTTGGTGATAAAGAATCAAAATAAGGTCTTGATTATCTGAAAGTTACAAAGGAGAAAACACTGACATAGCTAATTGAAATCAGGTATAAGTTATCCTTCCCTCTGAGTCAGACTTGTTCTGGTGACAAATTTTCCTGTAGTAGGTTCTGGTCAAGGTGTTGGTAAGAGATAGTAGTCATTGTATATGATGTATACTTTAATTTTCAGGGACTCTAAAATGACTTGAAATTATTGGGTCCTTGGAAAAGTCATGACTCATTTTTGCATAGAAATACATAGAAAAACACATTATGAATTTTCTGATGACCCAATAGAAAGACATAATTAGGCACACAGAGCAATTACATACATAGGTACGTAAATGTGTCTTAACAGTTGGAGTAGTTTTCGAACTTTCTAAGTAATTAGCTTCTAATAAATATGAAAAGGTCTGTGAAATCCGTAAAAACTGAAATAGGCAATTCCTTTATTTAGGTGATTCTTTACTATGATGATATAATGGTTCTTCTGTAGAAAATACTTCATTCTAAAAAAGAATTTCTTTCTATTACAAGGGATCTTCAAAAAGTTTATAGAAAAATGCACATTATGAAAAAATTATGCATGGATTTTGATTTTTTTTTTGTACCAAATTGACTCATACTTTTAATTCCATTTTCCACATGCTTTTTGAAGTCTTCTTGCATAAATGGTAGCAAAATAATCTCCACAAGACTAAGTAATATCTTTCTCCTAGGAAGGTTTAAAATAATAAAAACTGAAAATACATATTTATATTTTTTAAGAGACAAGGTCTTGCTACATTGTCTAGGCTGGCCTCAAACTCATGATCCTCCTGCCTCAGCCTCCTAAGTAGTTGGAATTACAGGCGCATACCTCTGTGCCTGGCTCTAAAAATAATTTTTATTCAGAGCCCTGTAATGTTTCATGGTAAAATTAGAACAGTTTCATCAGAATCCATTAATCGTTGATGATTTTCCATCCTTTTGTTTTTAATTTGCTGTAGGGTACATTTGCTTACTTGAGAGAAATGAGGAGCAGGAGGGAGAAGTGAGGAAACCCCCCCAAGGAGAATGGCGATGCCGCAGTCCCCTCCCCTCCATTCTCCTCATGTATGCTCATGAATCCAGTGTGTTTCTCAAGCCACCAGTCTGGGACTCAAAGCACACATGTGGGATCCAGTTGTCTTAACTACCACATCAGCAGCTAGCTTGATTCTCCCATTTTTAAATACACACACACACACACACACACACACACATTAACGTAAGTGACATTATACTTTCAAAGGTTTATTTATTTTCCCCCCAACCTCATAATAAGAAATAACCTTTCACAAATTATCGTGACCTGAGGGTCTTTAAGAAATTAGGATCGGGGTCAGCATATGGCATAGTGATTGTGTCGCTAGACTTCCATGTAGCCAACCACAGTTCAAGTCTCTGACTTTGTGCCTTGAAATTCATGCTGGGCACATGTGTGTGCATGTGCCCAAGATCCCAGGAAGAGAATGGAGGATAAGGGATTGTGATTTGGCCATCCCCCCGGGGGGGGGGGTGATTTCTCACTTTCCCTCTTATTGTCTCTCTGGTGAGTGACGTGCCCTAAAGCAAAAACCTTTTTTTTTTTTAAAAAAAAAAAAAAGAAAAAAGAAATTAGGGTGGCCTTGTCTAGGCAAAACCTTGATTTGTTCTAGAAACTCATGATTCCCCCTTATGCTAGGCAAGTGCAATGTTTTATCCAAGTGCTTTTCTCTTGGACCAGAAAAGCTTGACGAAGCTGTTTGCCTCCAGGTCGCTATAACAGAGTTTAATACCAGTGATTACTGACCCCTTCGCTGTTATGTATAAATCTTTATTTGTTGTAAAAGTTGATTACTTTTACCTATCTCCAGATTTTTACACACTCTCCCCAAGATATTGTTGATACTATTTATTTAAACAAAGGTAGTGAAATCATTGGACATAGAAACCTTGCGTAGCCAAGTTCATAGCATTAGCTTTACACAATAGCATTTCAATAACTGTTTTGTTAAATTAGTTGAGAAAGCTTACTAAGTGCTTTTTTCTTCATATAAAACTGTTTAATTTTTCTTTTGATATTGCCATCTTCTTGTCTCCAGTAATTAATGAAAAAACATACCAAATGTTCCATCCTTACTCTGTGAGGGCCATTAGTGAGACATCTGCTTGGGACACTTCATCTTACAGACCAGGGGTTGACAGACTTGGTGAATGGCTGAAGAGTAAATCATTTAGGCATTATGATCTTTTTTGCAAGTTACTTTTTTTTTTACAACCCTTTAAAAATGAGAAAATTGTTAGCTCAGAAACACACAAAATGAGAAAAGCTATCCAGCACTAGCAGCTCTTCTCAGAGACTAGGGTGAAGATCTGGAGATTGGCGTCATGCCCAAGCCCTTCACTAGGTAGTAGTAGGGGCCATTTAAGAATGCTGGATTTTTTTAGGCCAGTCTCTCTCCCTCATTGACTCTGTTACATAAATGTTACCATCTTTCTTGTGGTTGCCATTTAATAATTATGTTGCATGGTTGCACCACTATGAAATCTCTTATCTTTTTATTCTCTCTAAATTTCAAGTTTTTGTACTTCTTTACCTTTATTTTTTTGTTGCTTGGCTTTGAAGGGGACAATGAATGGTTGTTTAAATAAAATGCTTAATTCAAGGAGGAGGCATGTTTAAATTGGAGTGTGGGAAGTGTGTTACATTGTACATTATTATAATAGAAACTTTGTTTTATGTGTTTGTTGTTGAGACTGGCTTTGTTTTATGACTCCATGCTTATGTCTTATGACTTGATTTAAAAACTGTTGTAACTGCTTTGGCCTTTGATAGTTGTTTTAGCTTTTTATAATGTTTATATCTTTCAATGTAATTGAAATGATTACAGTAAGCATTCTTTATACTTAAAATACAATTATTTTATTTTTCAGGACGCATGGGAATCAATTTCCATCATCCAGGAACAGATAATATCATGGCACTTAACAGTAAGTCCTTATATGAAATTAGCAGTCAAGTTTGCAGCATGCGGTTTCAACCTTTTATATTATTCATGACTTTTCAGCCTCCCGTTGAATGCAATGTGAGTGATCTTCAAAAAGATCATGGGCAATGCATATGATGTAAAAACTATACATAGATTTCAAATTCTTTTTTTGCACCAAAATGAACTTGTATTTTATTTTGATTTTTCCATGAACTTTTTGAAGTCCCCTCAAATAGACCATTATTCTGTATTAGTGGTTCTCAAAGTGTGGTCCCTGAACCAGCAGCATCAGCATCTCTTGAAAATTTATTAAAATGCAAAGTCTCAGGCCTTCTTATAGACCTACTAAATCAGAAACTAAAAATTGGGCCGGGACATGTGTATTAACAAGTCCTATCGGTGATTCTGATGCAGGCAAAAGTTTGAGAATTACTTGCTGCCCTATGTCAGCATTGGCAAGCTATGGCTCTGCAAATCGAATCTGGCCCACTGCCTGTTTTTGTAAATAAAGTTTTATTGGAACATAGCAACACTCATTCACTTATGGGTTGTCTACAACTACTTTTGTTCTGCTGACAGATCCCATAAAGCTTATTCACTGTCTGGCCTTTCCCAGAAAATAGTTGGCTAACCCTTGTTCTACATGTTTGTGCTAGGTGAACAAAGGGAGAGAAAGAGTGGAGGTGAAGAGTGTAAATGATTAAGACAACTTATTTTATGCATAGCAGTATTTTCTCATGGTGGTAAATGTGTTTCAGGCTGTACATCCAGGAGCCTCCCATTGGTGGGATTTGTATGGTATAGATGGCAACAGCTTTGTGGGTTAGAAATGGTTTTGTCAGTATAATTAATTACTGGATCAAGTTCGCGGGCATCAAAAACTTATTAACCAGAAGGTCACTGTATTAATTAACACTGAAAGAAATACCTGGCTGGCTTCATCTGTCCTTGCTAGTGTTTATGGACCAAATAGCTTTGCAGAAGAGCAGTCACTAATTGGAAACTGTCCATTGTCAGCAGACCTTTACAAGCCATTGAATCTTTTCACGATTTAAATTTTTCTCCTCTTGCCAAATGAGTAATATCAGATTTTTTCCTTTCTTTCTTTCATGCAGGTAGGTTCTAATCTACTCCATGCATACATTTTTTTTTCTAGATTGCTAATATCCCTACTGTGGAAGGTCTTAGAAATAAAAAAATCCCAAGTAACCCCCTCTAACTTTCTTCTTTCTTTCTTTCTTTCTTTCTTTCTTTCTTTCTTTCTTTCTTTCTTTCTTTCTTTCTTTCTTTCAAAAGAATTATTCTATTTAACTTTATTTATTATTACTATTATTTTCCAGTTTGATCAGACAGAGACAGAGAGGAGGGTGGAGAGTGAGAGAGCAAGCACGGGTCCAAGCCTGGGACTTGAACTGCAGTCAGCCATGTGGGAGTCCAGCATCTTTAACTACCACGCTACCTGCCAGCCCCCAAATTGTTTTCTTTCACCCTCCTGGATATACAAACTTGAGACACATGGGAGGCTTACTAGGTAAATGCAGGGTTGTGGGCAACGTTCTTTCTCTTACTTGAGTAAGGATTTTAAATCCCATTTGAGTGCCTTAGGATGGATTTTATGTTATCTCAAATATATATATACACACACACACATTCCACAGTTCTTTGGTTCTGACATGTGGCCTACCCGCCAGTGAGCACTGCAGAGAACCACTGGCAGTGCTAGATCATGCAGGTAGGTTCTAATCCAGTTCCATATGCATGCATTTTTTTTCTAGATCGCTAATAGCCCTCCTGTGGAAGGTCTTGGAAACAAAAAAGTCCCAAGTAACCCCCTCTAACTTTCTAATTTCTAAAAGAAAGTTTATTTTACATTTAGATCATGTTACTTCTGATGTTTTTTCTAGTGTGATGGATTAATAAATATGCTTAGTTTGCTGAGCTTCAATAATAATTAATCATGAAAACTTCATGGGATGTTAGGAGTCAGAACTGAATGTAAGTGAAATTAGTATGGTCGCATGTGTGACTGAACGAATGAGTGTGTATCTGAGGAATCACCTATCTTGACATAATGTGACTCCTCTGTCTCAAGAAGGAGTGTGTGCAGTCAGCCAGTGGTGAGGTGGTTAAGGCTTTTGGATCCCACATGGCTGACTGAGTGGTTCAAGTCCTGGAATGCACTGGGTGTGAGTGCCTGCGTGCTCCAAATTCCAAGAAGTGGGTGGAGGAGAAGGGATTGCAGTGTGGCCATCCCCTCTGGGGGTATGTTTTCTCATTTCCCTCTCCTCTTCCCTTTCTCTCTCTCTTTCTCTGGTGAGCCCACATTCTCTATAGCAAATTTTAAAGTAAATAAAGGAAAGTATATAATTTGTTGTTTTCTGTGTTGTAAGTGAAGGTGACAGACTTTTCTCTCAAAAAGGTTTGGATTCTCTTTGATTTGATTTTCCTTAGTCTTCTGATTTTAAATAAGAGATTTCATTTATATTCTTTCCTCTTTGTGCATGTTGCTTAAATCCCCCTATTTAGCCTCAATTTCTTCATCCAAGAGAAGAGACTGATAGTTAATCGTTTTTTTAAAAAATATGGATTAAATTGTTCATATATTTTAAAAATTATTTTATTTAGCTTTATTTTAATTTCACTGGAGAGGGATAGAACAAAAGAGGGAGGGATGGAGGGAGAGAGAGAGAGAAAGCGAGAAAGCAAGCTGCCAGGTCCGGGACTTGAACTGTGGTCAGCCATATGGGAGTCCAGCGCCTTAACCACCATGCCACCTACCAGCCCCAAATTGTTCATATCTTTTCTGTGATACACAGAGAGTAGTCTCTTCCCCTTATTTATGTGCATTCTCCTGTCCATTGTAAATTTTCTATGAACCCTCCCACACTGCCTCCCCTAAGCAGCTCCTGGTATCTGCATTACTGTCTCTACTTTGTGCTTTTGAATCCTTAATTTTTCACTGAAGAGTGCAGACATTTGACATATATTAAGTGGGGACATACGATACTTGGCTTTCATAGTCCGGCTTATTTAATTTAGCGTTACGTCTTCTAGGTTCATACTCTCTTGTTAAGATGATGAGACTGTTGTTCCTGTGGTGGAGTAGTGTTCCCTGGTGTACGCGTACCGTGCTTTCTCAGTTCATCCCTCAGCTGTCGGACACTTAGCTTGGTCCGTGGTTTAACTCTTGCTAATACTGCAGTAAACACAGGATGTGCAAATGTCTCTGTCTTTCTGTCCTTTAGATATATACCCACTGCCTTTGGATAAATACCCAATAGTGGGGTTGCTAGGTCATACGTTAATTCTATTTTTAGTTCTTGAGGAACCTGTTTTCCACAGTGGATGTGCTAATTTACATTCCCACTAGCAGTACATAGGGATTCTTTTTTCTCTGCAACTTTACCAGCACTTGTTTTTCTTTTTTTGTTGTTGTTGTTTTAAGAGAGATTTTTACTGTAGGGTATGTGTGCTCACTGGAGACACGGAGAGACCAAAAAATGAGAAATCAGTCTCACCCCTCTTCATCATC